TGACCCTCCCCCCTCTCATGCTCTCTGTCTCTCATTCTCTGTCTCGCAAATAAATAAAATCTTAAAAAAAAAAATTAAAAAAAAAATTTCAATTTCTGATGTTCTCAGTATATAAAAGTGCAGTTGTGTTTTGTACATTAACTTTGCATCCTGTCACTTTTCTGACCTCACTCATCAGTACTATTAGCTCTTTGTAAATCCAGTACAAGTGCTTCCTTTTCAATCTGGATGACTCTTCCTCTCTTCCTCTTCCTCTCCCTCCCTCCTTCCTTTCTCTCTGTCTCTCTCTGTTTCTCCTTCTCTCTCTTGTTCTTTTTTTTTTTTTTTTTGCCTGATTTCACTAACTAGAATTTCCAGCACAACATTCAATAGAAGTAGTGAGAGCAGACATAGCTATCTTAGTCACAATCTTAGGGAGAAATCAGTGATTCCCTTTTAAGAATGGTGTTAGTTGAGTTTTTTGTAGATGCCTTTTATCAGGGTGAGGAACTTCTGTTCCTAGTTTGCTGAGAGTTTTTATCAGGAATGGATGTTGGATTTTGTCAAATGCTTTTCTGCACCCATTGAGATGATCATATGAATTTTCTTTTTTAGTTTGTTAATGCAGTGTTTTACACCGATTGATTTTCTCATGTTAAACCAACCCTACATTTTGGGGATAAATCAGGAATGTTTGATCATGCTGTATTATTTTTTCTAATATATGAATAGATTTTAATGTCTAAAACTTTGTTTAGAATTTTTGCATCTGTGTTTGTGAAGGATATTGGTCAGGAGTTTTCTTTGTTTGTAGTGTATTTGCCTGATGTTAGTATCAAAGTGATGACCCTGTTATAAAATGAGTTAGGATAGGGGTTTTACAAACATCTTCTTTAAGATGCCAGAAGGTAAGTTTTTTAGGCTGTGCAGGCCTTAGAATCTCTGCCACTGCTCTGCTGTTGTAGCGAGAAAGTAGCCATAGATAACTCACAAGTGACTGCCATAGTCCTGTTCCAGTAACACGTTATTACCCAAGTCAGCTGATGGGCTAGATTTCACCTACACACCATTATTTGCCAACCCCTGAGTTAGGAAACATATCTCCTTGGATCTAATACTTACGAAAATTGCAAAGACAATCATAAAAGAAGAACAAGTTTGGGGGACTATTAAATTAATATTAATCCTTATCTTAAGCTATGGTAGTAGGGTGATTGGTATTGAACTAAAAATATACCCACCTGATTTGTGACAAACCCTGAAGTGTAATGGGCAAAGGGTTGTCTTCTTAATAAATTGTGTTGGGTCAATGATATGTCCGTATGGAAATATCCATATGGAAAAGACTCTTAAAAATCAACAAATAATGTTAAATAACCCAATAAAAAATACTCAAAGACACGAATAATCTCCTCCATTTAATGACGTGCAAGGTACAGGAAGCATATGAAAAGGTATACAACATCGTTATTCATAAGGGAAATGAAAATTCAAATTAAAACAATGAAATATCACTGCACATCTTCTCAGAAGGACAAAAATCAACAAGCCTAACAAGTTATAAAGGGAAAGATATGAAGCAATTAAAATCATTTTACATTGCTGAGAGAAGACTGAATTGGTTTCTCTATTTTGGAAAAATATTTGTCAGTGTTTATGAAAAGTTTATGACTACCTTATAAACTGTCAATTCTACTCCTAATTATATGCCTGAAATTAATGAATGCATAAGTTCACCAAAAGACATACACAAAAATATTCACAGAGCTTATAATACCCCAAAAGACTAAAAGCAACTGAAAAGTAACCAGGGACATTAAATTTTAAATTGTTAGCATTTCCTGAAATTGTCTTGTAAGCATTCTTAAAGTACAAATTAACACTTTAGCCCTAATAAGATGTTACCATAACTTCCAGGCCATTAGGAGTCAATCAAATATTTTGGCATGTGTATATTATTTTTAATCAAGAAAGAAATTTAGAATTCAAATCTACAAACTTTAAAGTATTGACTTTGTAACATAATTAATGTAAACATAAATTCAAAGATATTATGGTTTGTTAATCCTCAGTTTAATATTTTACAAAGGATGAACTTTTTGATCAAGCATATAAATAAAAATATTTCAAAATGGTATTTGAATCAAATAATGCTGGAAAGGCTGAACACAATGTTATACTGACCTGCCCTGTTATCAGAATGGAATAGAAGGAAACTGGCAAGGATGATTTTTGAGTTTACAGAAGTAGTTTGGAGGGTCTGGTCCTACTCCTACATGGAGGAAGCCATTCTGCCTCTTCCTGGGTTGTGTTCATGGGAGCCTGAAGGACTGAGAATGGGAACAAATAGGATCGCAGTACTAGGTCCCTGGAGCCGGGGACTATGGAGTTGAGGAAGGCCCTGAACACATCACTTTTGTTCCTGGCAGCGGGATTATTGGGATTAAGTATAAAAGCACCTTTGGTCTCCTCTATTAGACTATGAGAGCAAGGGTAATGTCTCACTCCTTTTTGCTTCCCAGATGCCTGAAACAGTTCTTGGCAAATAGGCACTTATTCAACAGTTATTATTTATTGCACCATTATACACCATTTTTTAAAAAAAGATTCTATTTTTCTATTTATTTATTTGACAGAGAGAGAGAGTACAAGCAGGGGAAAGGGAGAAGCAGACTCCTTGCTGAGCAGGGAACCCAACTCAGGGCTCAGTCCCAGGACTCTGGGATTATGACCGGAGCCAAAGGCAGACGCTTAACTGAGCTTCCCACGCGCCCTGCACCATTATACACTATTATATTATTCTCAATTATCCAGGTGCTTGTAGGTCAGGTGTGGAACTAACTAGATAAGGCAAATGAGGCTTAATGCAGGGCCAAGTTTTGTGGGAAGAAATAAGTATCAAGAAGTACTAGACATGCAAAACCAAAATCCTGTGAGGATTTGAATCCAATATCTTTTGCTTACCAGATAAGTAGAATGGATTGCAAAGCAACAATCTATTGTCCTAGAAAGGAATTTATTTGATATGCACCATATGGACAACATTTAAGAGCATGCCAGTACACTTTTGGAATTTTTTTTTTTAAAGATTTTTTATTTATTTATTCATGAGAGACAGAGAGAGAGAGAGAGGCAGAGGGAGAAGCAGGCTCCCAAGGAGCAGGGAGCCCGATGCGGGACTCGATCCCGGGATGCTGGGATCATGACCTGAGCCAAAGGCAGACGTGCCACCCAGGCGCCCCACTTTTGGAATTTTTAATTGAGAAGTCACATTTTGTTTCTAGCAGGAAACATACCAAGACAAACCTCTTTGGTACAAAACATCGCAAAGGCCTGAACAGAGGAGGCTGTCAATTAGGGAAAATGAGAGATACAAATTGTTTTTTTATTTCCTATCTTGACACCTATAATACATTGTTCCAAAGAAAAAAACCAGTTCTTTCCACCCAAAACAAATCACCAATTTCTGAAGTCCACATGTTAGGTGTTGGAATGTGTACTAGGTTACAATGTTATAGTTACAGCTCTTGAGGAGATGGGAAATGTTCAAAACAGGAGCCATCCTCCCCCCCCAACCCCCCCCCCCCAAAGAGCAAAAACACAAAACAAGTTTAAAGAAAGAGCTGGGTGGGGGGAGAGAAAAACGCTTTATCAGATCAAAGGAATCAAGAATGAGCATGGAAGGATAAGGCTGAAGCAAGAACAGAGCAGAGAGGCCACAGACATGGGAATGGGAATTTCTCTCCGAGAAAAGAATGTATTTAGTAACTGGGTATGAAACAGTCGTTCATGGTAGAAATGACTTTTTTTTTAATGAGCTGGGAAATTGTAGATGGTGTTGAGTCATGGTTTGAAATGCAGGTCAAGAAGACGGAAGATCTTTTGAAGAACTTGGGGTGGAGGAGTTACGTGCCTGTTGGGTGGTGGGGGAGGGACAGTAAAGTGTGCCCCAAACTGAGAAGGCGCACTGAGACTGGAAAACTAAACAGGGGGCTCCATACAGTTTACACAGAGCTTTACTCAGGGTAACTTACTGACAGGGAGAATCTGCTGGAAAGTGAGACAGGGCAGCTGCATGGCTATTCTCCAAAAAGTCCAGACAGTAGTCCCCAGATTTTATAGAGCAAGGGGGGGGGCCTCGCAGAAGGGCACTGTAGTGAGATCAAAGGGGTCACCTGCACCTGATTGACAGCTAACCTTTAATTAGATCTTGTGACCCCACCTGTGTGTCAAGAAGGGGAAAGACTATGTTATCTCTAATAGATTCACGGGAGGCCACAGCAAGCCCCCCCACCCGCCGCATCCGGCCCGTGGCAGTCATTCCTAAAGTATGTCTATTAATCTCCAAGGGCTGGGAACATGGGCCCCAAAGAGGCCATCCTGCAAACCCGAAGAGGGAGGAGTCAAGAATGGAGTCAGTGTTGTCAGCACTCCTACACATGGTCAAACTGAGCTTTGAAGTCTCTTTCTTTAGCTGTGGGCCATCAGAAAGGGGCCACCAGGGGTGGAGAAGCCAGAGCACATCCCAACACGGAAGAGCCCCAGATGCTGGGCCACGTGCCTTCGATCAGCCTCTGGCGTCAGAGGTGAGCTCTGTGTGACACGGCATTTCCTCTACAATACTGTGTACCACAACTGGATGAAGGAATGAATGAACAGAAAGAGAACTTGCAGGAGCAAAATCTGGAAGATTTGGCAAGCCATTGGAGGTGGGGATCTTTCTGGTGCATGAAGAAACCCACAGCTGTGTAAATATGTTCAATGAGCTGGTGAGCACTCGTGGAGAAGGAAGGGGGATGGACATGGACTGGGGTGGAGAAAGCACAGATTTGGGGGTAACACATGTTGCCTGCCAACACTGACTTTGCCAGGTATCAGCCACGTGACTTTAGGAAGATACTCCACACCCTCCCACCCCTGGCCAAGCCTCAGCTCCATCTCTAAAATGAGGATAATAGTATATGTTTGTGAAAAAAATAATAAATTGGATTAAATAAAACAAGGTGAGTGACTCCCTTTTTCTGGTTCCCTGACACACAGCCCTGAATGGCGGTAGTGATCGATGACCCCTGCATGGTGGTTTTGGTGGTATTTTGAAGAACGTTTCAGGTCACACAGTTGCCAGTGCAGATTTAAAGGAAGGAGGAGAAGTTGAGCCTGGAGACGGGTTTGGCAGTCATGTGTGCCTTCATTCGTCGGACCAGATGGCCTACTCCATAGTCTGGCTGTGAAAGAGTGATGGAACTTTCAGAAGGCAGGGAGTTGGAGGTAAGTGAAAGAGAAGGAAAAAGACCAGGCAAAGGCACACATTAACCGTGCCCACCCAGAAGGCCACAAGGTCCCTCGGCTGGATGAGCAGGGAAAGGCTGGACAGCAGCGCCCTTGAGCGGTGGTCACCATAGGTGCAGGGTGGGATGGACATCTGGGGGCTCTAGGGGAGAAGTCCTTAGACACCAGGGTTTCTCTTCCAGGAGAAATGGAAATCCAGAAGGCAGCAGTCTCAGAGAAGGGGATTTATAATTTCCCATTAGCTTCACCCCCTGAAACTGGCAGGCTTCATGTCTCCCCTAATGAAGGAAGGTCCTGAGTCTGAGACTCAGAGAAGGGCAGGATATCTGGAAGTGACACAATGTGTTCATTGCCTTATTTGGTATATAAAAATAATATATGTGCCAATAATCATTAATGAGAAACATCAGGAATGAGAGGAAATCCGAGTTTTAACAAAACCAAAGGTTTTTGCAGGGGGAGAAAACTGGGAACTCAACCAGGAGTGCTCAGAGAATGCTGGGAAGGGATGAGTTGTCTTTGATCTTCTGTATCAGCCACCAGAGGAAGTAAAGAAAATTCGTTGAGGGTCTCCCATTTGGCAACAGTGGATCCAAGAAATATGACTTCACTCATTTATTCAGAGATGTACCCTGTGCCTGGCACTGTTCTAGAAGCTGGGAAATACAAGTAGTGACCAAAATAGACTAAAACAGAAAAATACATCTCTCAAGGGACTTACATTCTAGTGGGGAGGGTGTTAGGGTGACGAGAAGCCAAAGAATAGGTAAAACATGCAGCATGTCAGATCTTGGTACACATTATGAAGACGAATAGAGTAGAAAGTAGGTATAGGAAATTAGGGTGGGGTCGCTCAATGATAAAGATGACTATTAACCACGGCCCCACTGACAAGGTGATGCTCGGTGTTAGGATCTGTGTCTCCACTTACAAAGCCCAGAGGTCCCATCCCACCGCTGTCCTGACCTGCTTCGGCCCTCTTAAAGATGAGCATCAGGCTCACTTTTAGGGGTTCCCAGTGTAGGAACAGGTTTGGCCTTGGGTTACCTTCCTTAGGTTACTAGGGTGCACCTGCCGAGAATTTTCAGCCGCTCTAGTTATTAAGGAAAGGGTTCCAAGCCAGGTAATGAGAAAAGCAATGGGTAGAACCGTGAGAAGAACATCACCATTGGCCATTTAAATTAAAGTGTGTGTGTTGGGGGTGGGGAGGAGTCCATGTTTCTGTGTTTGTATGAAGAAGTTCCAGACCGCTACCCACAAAACTAGTAAATGTGGCTCCCTGTTACTGATGGGGGAGCTGGGCGGTGAAGCACTATGTTGGGAGCAGGATTGTTTCTTGTGTTTGCTTCTTGTGTTCTTTATGTATGCGATTATGAAGCCCTCGCACCTGACTGCCTAATAGAAACCATACAACAAAACCAAGTTTTAGTTGCATTGTCCCAAACGGCCAGCAGGTGGCGACAGCGTGCGACGCTCTCCCGCAGGTGGGCTGGAAGGAGGAGCCTGGGCTGGGGGCCCTTCCCTCCGGCCCACCCCTCCTCCTGTTCCTCGGTTAAGTCGCGCTGATTTCTCCGTGTCTGGATTCCCCTGTGTCACCTTTTGTTGACCAAAAGAGAAATAGATTCGTTAACTGGGCCGACATCTTAAAAAACTTTTGTGGGGGGGGGGCGGTTGTGCAGGGGAGGCTGGGAGCACAGCCCGAATCTGCGGGGATTACCAGCATCCTGCCCGCGCCGGGTCGCTCTCCGCGCTGGCTGGGGCGGGCGGGGCGCACAAGCTCCTCATTTCCGTCTCGAGTATTGTCACAAACGTCCCAACAGATACAGGTAAACAAAATACAAGAATCTCGCACCGAAAAAAACTTAGAAGTGATCGTTCGTAACATCATCCAATATCTAGTGCTTTAAAACCAAACCAAACAAAAACCACAACCCTCAGTTGCCTCAAATACTTCTTTACGATGATTTTTCTGAATTAGGATTCCATTGATTGCTATGTCTCCCAAATCTGTTTCAATGCGTATCACTTAACTAAATCTCCAAATAGTCGAGTTTGCTCTTTGGAAAAGGATTGAGAAAAGATAATCTGGGTGATGGCAATTCTCATTGTTCATGGATTGTCATTGTAGAGCCTTCCTATGAAAAGTGCCGGGGAGAAGTTTTCTAAAAAACAAAAGTAGTATCATACTGATAGTTTCCATTCATATTTCATTTACATAAAAGTTAGCATCTTTAAGATTATAAATGAGGGCGCCTGGGTGGCTCAGTTGGTTAAGCAACTGCCTTCAGCTCAGGTCATGATCCTGGAGTCCCAGAATCGAGTCCCACCTCGGGCTCCCTGCTCAGCAGGGGGTCTGCCTCTCCCTCTAACCCTCCTCCCTCTCATGCTCTCTGTCTCTCATTCTCTCTCTCGCAAATAAATAAAATCTTAAAAAAAAAAAAGATTATAAATGAAACACTTTTCCTCACACACACAACAAGCAAACAAATTTGTTTTCTGTATCTATAGACAAAATAGGAAAGATATCTTTTTTTTTTTAGTTATACAAAGTCATTTTAATATAGTCATTTCCAAATGTATAAAAGGTAAAACATTCTAATTTAAGAAAAATGTAATAGGCAATAAAATATTAACATAAGACAAATATGTGAAAATTATTTTAGAGCTTGTTTTTCATAGATGTCCACCTACTGGTACAAGAGTAAAACCTGCGTTAGGTGAGTTCGTGCAAGCTTCTCCATAAGTTGGTCTCCAGTAATAATGCTTTTTAAGGCCATTGGAGACTTCTGCAAGATACACATGTCCATCCACCACAAATGGCTCCACATCTGTATTATCTGGTTTTAGACGGTCCAT